TAGCAGTAGCAGTAGCAGTAGTGGTGGTAGTAGTAGTAGTAGTAGTAGTAGTAGTAGTGGTCGTACGAATACTAGCATTGGTAATAATAGTCGCAGTAGTAGCAGTAGGCGTATAAGTAGTCATACTAGTATCAGTTGTAGTCGTCGTAGTAGTAGTAGTAGTAGTAGTAGTAGTAGTAGTAGTAGTTTTCGCAGTAGCAATTGTAGTAATACTAATACTAATACCAGTATCAATAGTATTATATGTAGTCGTCGTAATATTACTAATGGCAGTGTGAGAAACACTAGTAGTAGAACCAGTAGTAGTAGTAGTAGTATCAGTAGTCGTACTGGTAGTCGTAGAAATAATAATAATAGCCGTGGTGGTAGTAGCCGTAGTCGTAGTCGTAGTAATAGTAGTGGTAGTGGTGGTAGTAGTAGTAGTAGTAGTGGTACTAGTAGTAGTAGTAGTAGTAGTAGTCGTAGTAGTAGTAGTAGTGGTAGTAGTAGTAGTAGTAGTAGTAGTAGTAGTAAGAATAAGGTTAGTTGTTGCTTCTGTGAAACTAAATGCGATAATACTAACAGTGGCAATGGTAGCGGTGGTAGTACTAGTGGTCATGGTAGCAGCGGTGTTATCAGTTGTACAATTAGTAAGAGTAGTAGTAGTACTAGTAGTAGTAGTAGTAGTGGTAGTAAGAGTAGAAGTAGAAGTAGTAGTAGTAGTAGTAGTAGTAGTAGTAGTAGTAGTAGTGGTAGTTACAGTAGTAGTAGTAATAGTCGTAGCAGTAGTAGTAGTAGCAGTAGTATAGTAGTAGTAGTAAGTAGTAGTAGTAGTCGTAGTCGTAGTCGTAGTAGTAGTCGTAGTAGTAGTCGTAAGTAGTAGTCGTAATAGTAAGTCGTAGTAGTATAGTAGTATAGTAGTAGTAGTAGTAGTAGTATTAGTAGTAGTAGTGTAGTAGTAGTAGTAGTAGTAGTAGTAGTAGTAGTAGTTAGTAGTAGTAGTAGTAGTATCGTAGTCGTAGTATAGTCGTAGTAGTCGTAGTAGTCGTAGTAGTAGTAGTAGTAGTAGTCGTAGTAGTCGTAGTAGTCGTAGTAGTCGTAGTAGTCGTAGTAGTAGTAGTAGTAGTAGTAGTAGTAGTAGTAGTAGTAGTAGTAGTAGTAGTAGTCGTAGTCGTAGTAGTAGGAGTAGTAGGAGTAGTGGTATAGTCGTAGTCGTGGTACAAATGCTAAGCATGAAGAGGATGGCGGGGGGGACGAAGACGAGGATCGGGAGGGGGAAGAGCACACACGCACATACGCACACACGCACACGCGCACACGCGCACACACGCACACACGCACACACACACACACGCAAACCCCCATAGGGTTGCGTTGTGTTGTGTTGTGTTGTTCGCCCCCCCCCCTCCCATCTCCCCCCCGGGGGGGCCTGCCCCGCCTGTATCAACAACATCAACAACAACAACATCTTCAACAACAACATCAACAACAACAACATCAACATCAACAACAACATCAACAACAACAACAACAATTACTAGCACGCGGGGACACACCGTTCTCACCAGTGCCAGGGTTTTCATAGGAGGCGGGCAATACCCCCACTTTGTGGGGGGGCCGGTTCAAGCTCTACCAAATTTCCAAACGACTCTTCGCCACCACCCACACCCAGCTTCCCGCCCTATGACGTTCGGACACTTCACTTCGTGGCATGCGGACGACCGTGGCTACTATTCAGGGCCCCGCGGCCGACGACGACGGCGTGCGCGCGCGAAGAAAAAACGAATGTGTCCCGCATGGTATTATTTGACAGGGATGATGGCCCTGGCAGGTGCGCAACCGTTGTTGCAGAAGTTCGAAAAAGTTGCTCGCAAAAGCCCGTTTGACAGAAATGTTTAAAAAGTGTTGGGTTTCCTACGAATCCGCAAGAGCGCGCGGGATGAAATTTTGACATTTTTTTTTTGAAAAACCAGTGGTTTTTTGATGTTTTTATGTTAAAATCGCTACGAAAACTAAGGTTTTGGAAGGATTTCGTCTTGCGCGCGCGAATGTCCACTTTACCTTATTTTTTGCAAGGGATTCTTGAAGTTTGGTTATGTTAGAACAAGAAATGTCCACTTTAGCTTATTTTTTGCAAGGGAAAGCGGGCCGTAACAACACAACCGGATCCGGACCAACCCGTTTTGCCTGAGACTTCCTCGCGAAAATGATGAAAACGTGGCTGCGGCCTAGGCGCGGCGGGGGGGTCGTGCACCAGGGGTCCCAACAATAATTATTCTTTAGAAGTAATAATGTTCAACAACAACAACTGCGCTGGACGACCAAGGAAAGGGTGTCGTTTCCCCGACTTGCCAAGGTCCTGGTCAGTCTGTGTCCTTCGCGCGTCGTCGCGATGGCCCCGGCGGCACGCCAAGCATCGAGGGGGCGAGGAAGCGGGGGGGTGGGGAGGAGGACGAGGATGCGAGGCGGGGATTTATCCATATCCGCCGCCTGGGAACCGGCGTCCTGGTGCCCCAGCGGGCGGTGGATATGGATATATTTCGGCCCCCGGGAGCCCGAATATGTCCATATCCACCGCCTGCCGAGGCTCCGAACACTGACCCTCCAGGCGGTAGATATGGATAAATTCCCGCCTCGGAGGGGGGGGAGCGAGGACGCGAGCCTGACTCCAGGGATCGGGTCGGGCGAAAGGGGGGGATAGCAAAGGGGGGGTTTGAGAATCAGCTCACGTAGCTGATTTTCCCGGCGCCTCCCGGCGCCGGAGGCGACTATGTATCGAGGAATGGGCCCCTCGGTGAGGCCGAAACCAGCTGCATGCAGCAAATTTCGTACCCCCCCCCTTTCCCAATCCCCCCCTTTCGCCCGGCCCGAAGGGAGCGAGGAAGCGGGGGGCGTGAGGGGCAGGGCGAGCCCACGGAGAGGACGCACGCGCCCTGTCACGCGCGTGCAATTATCACTGCGGCCTCCCGGTCCGCGGGGCCAGGCTTGCGTCAAGTCGGGCGTGTCCCCCGACAGGGGGGATTTTCGACGAAGACTGAAAAATATTCTAAAAATGCCCCAAAAAGATACCCCAAAATACTCAAAACATATAGTCCCCAGATTATTTGTTTGACTATTTTAAGATATTCCCCCTATAGAGGGACAGGCCCGACTTCAGCCTTGTAACGCAAACCTTCGCGCAACGCGTACTTTCGAAACCAACGTGGACTCATATACGTATGCGTCCTTCTTTCGCTCCTGAGCTATGCCATGCGAACGGGCAGCGTGTCGCTCCGCTCCGCGGGGCGGGAGGCTGGAAAAAGCGACGCTGTGTGGCCGGGAAGCGGATAACGTGCCGCGCCGAAGCGTGGTGGGTCCAAACCGGCGGAGGCACACGCCAAGCCAAAATTCCTGACCGCAGGACTGACACGACCCCCTTCGGCAGGACGCCCTTCTGTGCGAGCCGGGGGCGGCACTCCTCGGGTTCGCGCTGCACCGCGCTCCGGGTGCATCCGGGCGGAATTCTTAATTGACGTCCGAAAACCACCGGTAGTGCCCAGCAAAGAAGGGTCGGTTGACGAAGCCGACTGGGGAATTCACCGATACACTGTGAGTGCCAGTGCCGAATGAAGCGGTGCAGAATTCCTCTATCGACTTGTCAGGGCGGGTGTTCATCAACGCCCGAGAGTACAAGGACGAGGGCAGAAGAAAGGAAGATGTGGGATGCCGATCTCCGGAGGGTCTGGACCTCGAGGGCCAGGAACGGCTCTTGCACGAGGGTCAGCCCTGGGATGCATCGCTAGAGAGAAGACCATGGCCATGCCCACTGCGAATATCATGACAATTGTCCTTTACAATCCCTTACAATCTCACGCAATCCTGGTCGGCTGTTTATGTGTCAATGTTTACACTCATTATATGCGCGCGTGTATGTATGTATGTATGCATGCATGCGTGCGTGCATGCATGCATGCATGCATGTATGTATGAATGTATGTATGTATGCATGCATGCATGCATGTATGTATCTATGTATGTGCGTGCGTGCGTGCGTGCGTGTGTGTGTGTGTGTGTGTTCGTGCGTGTTCAAAGCTTTTGAATTGATCATCTCTTGGCGTAGTCCGCGACAGTTTTCCCATGGTTGCATTCCCACTGCGGCGGTGGAGGAAAGCGTGCGTTTGTGCGGTATGGTATGGCGTGCTCTAGTAGCTGCCGTAGGTCGACACTCTCACATGCCCCCACGACGTCATCTCATAAGGGTATAGAAATACGTTGCACCCCGCAGTTGCGGATAAGAGTGAGGGGGCGGCGAGGACGTCGGCAGTCTGCGAGGCTCTGAAGAAGCCCGCCGCAGGTGCTGAACTGAGCCCGCCGCAGGCGCCGATTTTTTCGTGAAAGCAATGTGGGTAGGTCGCAGGGTGGGTCGCGGGTGGGTCGCGGGTGGATGGCGGGCGGGTCGCGGGGTGGGCCGCAGATGGGTCGCGGGTGGGTCGCGGGATGGGTCGCGAGTGGGCGGTGATTGCGGGTGGTTGCGGATGGGTCGCGAGTGGGTCGCGGGGTGGGTCGTGGGTGGGTCGCGGGTGGATCGAGGTTGGGTCGGGTGGGTCGCGGGTGGTCGCGGGCTGGGTCGCGGGTGGGTCGCAGGTGGGTCGCGGGTGGGTCGCGGGGTGGGTCGCGGGTGGGTCGCGGGTGGATCGCGGGTGGATCGCGGGTGGGTCGCGGCTGGCTCGCGGGCTGGGTCGCGGGTGGGTCGCAAGTGGGTCGCGGGTGGGTCGGGGGGTGGGTCGCGGGTGGGTCGCGGGTGGATCGCGGGTGGATCGCGGGTGGGTCGCGGCTGGCTCGCGGGCTGGGACGACGACGACGACGACGACGACGTCGACGACAACAACAATATCATCAACAACAACAACGACAATCCGCACCGCAGAATCTCACTTCAACCACGGGCCTAGGGACAATGACTGACCGTTCAACCCCCTCACTCTGGTAGCGGCCCGTGGGAGCCAGCTAAGGTTTTCACATCCCCTTTGTGGACTCCTGGC